TCCTTCTCCTAATGTCCTCCATGCTATTCCTTATGTTCCACAAATAAGTGAAACCATATGATAATTGACTTTCTCTGCTTGACTTATTTCACTTAGCATAATCTCCTCCAGTACCATCCATATTGATGTAAAAGTTGGGTATTCATCTTTTCTGATGGCTGAGTAATATTCCATTGTATATATGGACCACATCTTCTTTATCCATTCATCTGTTGAAGGGCATCTTGGTTCTTTCCACAGTTTGGCTATTGCGGACATGGCTGCTATGAACATTGGGGTCCATATGGCCCTTCTTTTCACTACATCTGTGTCTTTGGGGTAAATACCCAGAAGTGTAATTGCTGGGTCATAGGGTATCTCTATTTTTAAATTTTTGAGACACCTCCACACTGTTTTCCAAAGTGGCTGTACCAACTTGCATTCCCACCAACAGCGTAAGAGGGTTCCCCTGTCTCCACAACCTCTCCAACATTTGTTGTTTCTTTCCCTGTCCATTTTTGCCATTCTAACTGGTGTAAGGTGGTATCTTAGTGTGGTTTTTTTTTCTTTTTTTTTTTATTCTTATGTTAATCCCCATACATTACATCATTAGTTTTAGATGAAGTGTTCCATGATTCATTGTTTGTGCATAACACCCAGTGCTCCATGCAGAATGTGCCCTCCTCAATACCCAACACCAGGCTAACCCATCCTCCCACCCCCCTCCCCTCTAGAACCCTCAGTTTGTTTTTCAGTGTCCATCGTCTCTCATGGTTCGTTTACCCCTCCGATTTCCCCCGCTTCATTCTTCCCCTCCCGCTACCTTCTTCTTCTTCTTCTTCTTTTTTTTTCTTAACATATATTGCATTATTTGTTTCAGAGGTACAGATCTGAGATTCAACAGTCTTGCACAATTCACAGCACTTACCAGAGCACATACCCTCCCCAGTATCTATCACCCACTCACCCCATCCCTCCCACCCCACCCCCCACTCCAGCAACCCTGTTTGTTTCCTGCAATTAAGAATTCCTCATATCAGTGAGATCATATGATACATGTCTTTCTCTGTTTGACTTATTTCACTCAACATAATACCCTCCAGTTCCATCCACGTCGTTGTAAATGGCAAGATCTCATTCCTTTTGATGGCTGCATAATATTCCATTGTATATATATACCACCTCTTCTTTATCCATTCATCTGTCAATGGACATCTTGGCTCTTTCCACAGTTTGGCTATTGTGGACATTGCTGCTATAAATATCGGGGTGCACGTACCCCTTCGGATCCCTACTTTTGTATCTTTGGGGTAAACACCCAGTAGTGCAATTGCTGGGTCATAGGGTAGCTCTATTTTCAACTTTTTGAGGAACCTCCATACAGTTTTCCAGAGTGGCTGCACCAGCTTGCATTCCCACCAACAGTGTAGGAGGGTTCCCCTTTCTCCGCATCCCCGCCAACATCTGTCGTTTTCTGACTTGTTAATTTTAGCCATTCTGACTGGTGTGAGGTGGTATCTCATTGAGGTTTTGATTTGGATTTCCCTGATGGCTAATGATGATGAATATTTTTTCATCTGTCTGTTAGCCATTTGTATGTCTTCTTCAGAGAAGTGTCTTTTCATATCTTCTGCCCACTTTTTGACTTGATTATTTGTTTTTTGGATGTTGAGTTTGAGAAGTTCTTTATAGATCTTGGATACCAGCCCTTTATCTGTAGTGTCATTTGCAAATATCTTCTCCCATTCTGTGGGTTGCCTCTTTGTTTTGTTGACTGTTTCCTTGGCTGTGCAGAAGCTTTTGATCTTGATGAAGTCCCAAAAGTTCATTTTTGCTTTTGTTTCACTAGCTTTTGGAGATGTATCTTGAAAGAAGTTGCTGTGGGCGATGTCAAAGAGGTTACTGCCTATGTTCTCCTCTAGGATTTGGATGGATTCCTGTCTCACATTGAGGTCTTTCATCCATTTTGAGTTTATATTTGTGTATGGTGTTAGAGAATGGTCGAGTTTCATTCTTCTGCGTGTGGCTGTCCAATTTTCCCAGCACCATTTATTGAAGAGACTGTCTTTTTTCCATTGCATGTTTTTTCCTGCTTTGTCAAAGATTATTTGACCATAGAGTTGAGGGTCCATATCTGGGTCCTCTATTCTGTTCCATTGGTCTGTATGTCTGTTTTTGTGCCAGTACCATGCTGTCTTGGTGATCATTGCTTTGTAATATAGCTTGAAATCGGGCAACGTGATGCCCCAGCTTTCTTTTTCTTTTTCAACATTTCCTTGGCGATTTGGGGTCTTTTCTGATTCCATACAAATTTTAGGATTGTTTGTTCCAGCACTTTGAAAAATGTCATTGGAATTTTGATCGGGATGGCATTGAAGGTATAGATTGCTCTGGGTAGCATAGACATTTTAACAATGTTTATTCTTTTGATCCATGAGCATGGAATATTTTTCCACCTTTTTGTGTCTTCTTCAATTTCTTTCATGAGTGTTCTGTAGTTCCTAGAGTACAGATCCTTTATCTCTTTGGTTAGGTTTATTCCGAAGTATCTTATGGTTTTTGGTGCTATTGTAAATGGAATCGTTTCTCTCATTTCTCTTTCTACAGTTGCATTGTTAGTGTATAAGAAAGCGACTGATTTCTGTGCATTGATTTTGTATCCTGCCACATTACTGAATGGCTGTATGAGTTCTAGTAATTTGGGGGTGGAGTCTTTTGGGTTTTCCACATAAAGTATCATGTCATCTGCGAAAAGAGAGAGTTTGACTTCTTCTTTGCCCATTTGAATACCTTTTATTTCTTTTTGTTGTCTGATTGCTGTTGCTAGGACTTCTAGTACTATGTTGAATAATAGTGGCGAGAGTGGGCATCCTTGTCGTGTTCCTGACCTTATGGGGAAGGCTCTCAGCTTTTCCCCACTGAGGATGATATTCCCTGTGGGTTTTTCATAGATGGATTTTATGAACTTGAGGAATGTTCCCTCTGTCCTTATACTCTGGAGAGTTTTAATCAGGAAAGGATGTTGTATTTTGTCAAATGCTTTTTCTGCATCAATTGAGAGGACCATGTGGTTCTTCTCTCTCCTCTTATTAATGTGTTCTATCACATTGATTGATTTGCGAATGTTGAACCACCCTTGCATCCCGGGGATAAATGCCACTTGGTCATGGTGGATGATCCTTTTAATGTATTGTTGGATCCTATTAGCTAGGATTTTGTTGAGGATTTTGGAATCCATGTTCATCAGGGATATCAGTCTGAAATTCTCCTTTTTGATGGGGTCTTTGCCTGGTTTGGGGATTAAGGTAATGCTGGCCTCATAGAATGAGTCTGGAAGCTTTCTTTCTGTTCCTATTTTTTGAAACAGCTTCAGTAGAATAGGTATTATTTCTTCTTTGAATGTTTGGTAGAATTCCCCAGGGAATCCATCAGGCCCTGGACTCTTGTTTTTGGGGAGGTTTTTGATCACTGCTTCAATCTTGTTATGGGTTATTGGCCTATTCAGGTTGTCAATTTCTTCCTGTTTCAGTCTTGGCAGCTTATAGGTGTCCAGGAAGGCCTCTATTTCATCCAGATTGCTCAGTTTCTTGGCATACAGTTGTTGATAATAATTTCTAATAATTGTTTCTATTTCCTTGGTGTTAAACGTGATCTCTCCCCTTTTATTCATAATTTTATTAATTTGGGTCCTTTCTCTTTTCTTTTGGATAAGTCTGGCCCATGGTTTATCGATCTTATTAATTCTTTCAAAGAACCAACTTCCAGTTTCGTTGATCTGATCTACTGTGTTTCTGGTTTCTAATTCATTGATCTCTGCTCTAATTTTATTTATTTTTTTTAAAGATTTTATTTATTTATCTGAGAGAGAGAATGGGAGACAGAGAGCATGAGAGGGAGGAGGATCAGAGGGAGAAGCAGACCCCCCGCTGAGCAGGAAGCCCGATGTGGGACTCGATCCCGGGACTCCAGAATCATGACCTGAGCCGAAGGCAGTTGCTTAACCAACTGAGCCACCCAGGCGCCCCTCTGCTCTAATTTTAATTATTTCTCTTCTAATGCGTGGCTTAGGCATTGTTTGTTGCTTTTTCTCTAGTTCTTTAAGGTGTAGAGTTAGTTAGTGAATTCGGGATTTTTCTATTTTTTTGAGTGAGACTTGGATGGCTATGTATTTCCCCCTTAGGACTGCCTTTGCAGTATCCCATAGGTTTTGGACCAATGTGTTTTCATTCTCATTGATTTCCATGAATTGTTTAAGTTCTTCTTTGATTTCTTGGTTGAACCAAACATTCTTTTTTTTTTTTTTACTTTACTCACATATTATATTTTATTTCTTATAATTAATGGCTAAGTAAAGAAAAAAACTAATTGTAGCACCTTACTATTTTAAGACCACAATTGTAATTTAATGCTATCCCATTCCATAAAATAAGGAGCCTTCCCCCAAAGCTATAGCGTGCATTTAAGTTTCCCGATCCCATTGAAAGCTAGTACTTTTTATTACTTATCAAACACACAAAAATTACTGTTCCCCCTAGCTGAAGAATCTCACAAATGATACTTTTTCTTTATGTGCATGGTTCATTGACTCAAACCAGAACAGAGCTACTAAAATATCCATGATTTTGAATCTCAGACTGGGGTCTGGCTACTCCTGGGGGTTATTTACTGGTATGCTAAGGGGGATTATCAACCATGTGAAAATGCTCCATCTTTCCAGAGAGCAATGTTTACTTGAGGCTAAGGAATCACATTAAATATGAAAAAAAAAATTTTTTTTCAGAAATGTTAAATGGAAGTTTTTTCCCTCAAGTGAAATATATAGAAAACCTCAACTTATATATAAAACCAGTTTTAGGAAACCATGTTGGCAGTAGGAGTTGGCCGATGCGATTTCTCCCACCACACACACCGTGGGGGCATGTGACCCCTTCCCTCCTGGGGTACCCTGGGGAACTTCCCGCACACCAAGCACCACGCCCACCAATCTTAATTCAAGGACTGGGCATCCTGCTCGGGATACAGAAAGTTCTACAGGGGACCCCAAGAGCCACCAATGCTGTGTGAATCCTGCTTCCCTTTTTCAGGTAATTGATAGACCATGCTTACTTGTGCTTCTTTTATGTGCTCAAGTCCAACCCTTAAAATCTAAACTTTTCTGGCTTTTTGATCTTTTTAGTTGTAATACATTTCAACAAATACTTCCACTTGGGTTATGTAGCTCAGATCCTGTGGCATCTCTACCGTAAACAGCAATAGATCTTCCCAAACTGTGAGGAACTAGTGAGTGTTCCCAGACATCATTCTGTCCCCTAGTCTGGTTTCTGAATATTCTGGTTCTTTTCCTTCTTTGTATATTCTTCTAGTCGAAGAAGCCACTTGGCCCAGTACTGGGAACAGAGCTCAGTGTCCATGAAATGCGGATGGGCAGGGGATCCATCTTTGTAGGCCACCACAATTAAGCCACACTGAACCTGAAAGCTATAGTTGACATCATTATTTATGGCACCAACATAGGCCACAACCTGCAGCGGGTTGTCAAATGTATTTCGAATATAAGGTTTCGGTTTCTCCGATGTCTTCCAATCAATCACACACAGCTTGCCCTGATATTCAGCCACACAGTCCAGTAGACCTACATACTTTAAGGTATCATGCTGAACAGTGCTTTCAAGAGCTTGCACTCCACTGACATCTTTCAGGATATGCTGGACACTTTCGATATATCCAGATTCGAGATTCTCATTACTCTCTTTCAAGTCTCTTTGGGGTGCAAGTATCCTTTCCAAGGCTTTATGGAACCGTTTCCCTTGTAAAAATATATTTGAAGAATATTCGGCAAAGCCATCCTCTCCCAGTTCCAGAATCATCCGCTGTTTCCACCTCTCCAAGTAGAAAATCTGTTCTGATGTCATGGTCTGCTGAAGGATCTTGGTCACACTTGGTATGGTATTTCTTTGCAAAGGGATTCTCAAAGGAACTGTAGGAGTACTTGCTGCATTTGGTTTTACACTTCTCTCTGGGATTAAGAGAAGACACCAGTTTCGTGGAGCTTTTGCTTCCTCATCTTGCTTTGGGGGCTTACACTTACTCACAGGTCCATAGAGTAAATTATCTTCCTCAAACAATGATTCTGGAATCTGAGCAAGGCCTCTGGATGACAAGACAGACTGTACTAAATCAGAGTACTTTTCTTGGTCTACTTCTTTATAAGGGTTCACTTTTTTCTTCCGGCTACAAGAATAAGAGGAAGTGGAAAAATCCACGTGGGCGGTTGGTTCTAGAGAAAACCCCTTTGAACTTCTGAGCTGTCTGCAGATGGTCTGAAATGCCTTCATCTTTAGATCCTTTCTCACTTCCCTCTAGGCTACTTGCAATGTTGAGGGCCTTTTATTTTTGCACTCCTCAGGAGCCACCAGACTTCACTTAACTTCCAGAGCGCCAACAACCTCTCGGGACCCGTACTTTCCTCGGTCCCGCCGACCCAAACATTCTTGAACAGAGTGGTCTTTAGCTTCCAAGTGTTTGAATTTCTGCCAGAGTTTTTCTGGTGATTGAGTTCCAGTTTTAGAGCATTGTGGTCTGAGAATATGCAGGGAATAATCTCAATCTTTTGGTATTGGTTGAGACCTGATTTGTGACCCAGTATGTAGTTTATTCTGGAGAAAGTTCCATGTGCGCTCAAGAAAAATGAGTATTCTTTTGTTTTAGGGTGGAATGTTCTGTAAATTATCTATGAGGTCCATCTGGTCCAGTGTGTCATTCAAAGCTCTTGTTTCCTTGTTGATTTTCTGCTTAGATGATCTGTCCATTGTTGAGTGTAGTGAGGTCTCCTACAATTAATGTATTGTTATCAATATGACTCTTTATTTTGGTTAACAGTTGGCTTATGTAGATGGCTGCTCCCATGTTGGGGGCATAGATATTTACAATTGTTATATCTTCTTGTTGGATAGACTCTTTAAGAATGATATAGTGTCCTTCTGTGTCTCTAACTAGAGACTTCAGTTTAAAATCTAATTTGTCTAATATAAGATTTGCTACCCCAGCTTTCTTTTGAGGTCTGCAGGCATGGAAGATGATGGATTTCCATCCCTTCCCTTTCAGTCTGGATGTATCTTTAGGTTCAAAATGAGTCTCTTGTAGACAGCATATGGATGGGTCCTGTCTTTTTATCCTATCTGCAACCCTGTGCTGTTTTATGGGAGCGTTTAGGCCATTCACATTGAGAGTGATTATTGAAAGATATGAATTAATTGTCATCAAGTTGCTTGTGAAGACGTTGTTTTTACAGATTGTCCCTGTAAATTTCTGTTGTATATCACTCTTGGGGTCTTTCTCGTTTTATAGAACCCCCCCTTAATATTTCTTGCAGGGCCAGCTTAGTGGTCACATATTCTTTCAGTTTCTGCCGGTCTTGCAAGCTCTACATCTCTCCATCCATTCTAAATGACAGCCTTGCTGGATAAAGTATTCTTGGCTGCATGTTCTTCTCGTTTAGTACCCTGAATATGTCTTGCCAGGCCTTTCTGGCTTGCCAGTCTCTGTGGATAGGTCTGATGTTATTCTGATAGTCCTCCTTCTGTACGTAAGGAATCTCTTCCCCCTAACTGCCCTTAAGATGGTTTCCTTGGTTCTAAGATTTGTGAGTTTTACTATTTACATGCCGGGGTGTTGGCCTGTTTTCCTTGATCTTGGGAGGGGTCCTCTCTGCCTCTAGGACATGAATGTTTGTTTCATTCCCCAGATTAGGGAAGTTCTCAGCTATGATTTGCTCAAATACATCTTCTAGTCCTCTCTCTCTCTCTCCACTCCCTCCAGGCTTCCAATTAGTCTGATATTGGAATTCTTCATGGTGTCACTTATTTCTCTGATTCTATTTTCATGGATTCTGAGTTGTTTTTCCCTGGCCTCTTCTTTTCCCTTTTTATCCATTATATTGTCTTCCAGGTCGCCTATTAGTTCCTCTGCCTCACTTACCCTAGCTGTTAGATTATCTAGATTAGATTGGATCTCATTGATAGCATTTTTAAGTTCTGCCAATTCAGCTTTCATTGCTGCCCTTAGAGACTCTATGTTGCCATTAATTGATTTCTCCATTCAAGCCATTGTCTTCACAATTGCTAGCCTGAATTCCATCTCCAACATCTTGGTTATATCTGCATCCATTTGTAAATCTGCAGCATAAGTCATAATCTCTGAGTCTTTTCTGTTTTGGGGGCTCCTCCTCCTAGTCATTCTGTTGATGGGTGTTTGAGGGAATGTATAGAGTCCAAATTATTGACCAGAACTCAAGCAAAATGCACCTGTTTTCTTGAGAACTTAGGGTTGCTGGCCTCTTGTTTTCCCAGCCTGTCTTCTGCAGGAGGGGCCTGCTGCGCTGTTATTCAGGCAACCCTGTTTGGGCAGAGTTGCCCTGCCCCCTTGTGGCAGGGGATGGGCTCAGTGGTAATCAGTTTTGGGGGGCTTTTGTTCTCTGGCGGCTTTCTCAGCTGGCTTTCCGCGACTCTTCCGCGAGTCAGAGCAGAAGAGACCGTTTCCAACCCTCTGCCTCAGAGCAGAGAGACCACAGTCTGTTCTTCAGTGAGCTCTCCAGGCCACACTGTCTCCGTTTCTGTCCGTGCTGCTATAAACTGCAGCATCCTGGGTTGTGTGCCCCTCTGCAGTGCTCTCAGTCCTGCCTCCAGGTCGGGGCATGTCTCTGCCCTTTGTGCTTCTAAAACCACCAGCCACTCCCAGTTCTTATGCATGACCCCACCGCTCCGGGTTTCCATGCAAGAGGGCTGCCCTAAAGTCCTTTCCCCATCACTACTGGTCTGCGAGTCTGTGCCACATCCCCAGCATGCGAGGCTGTTGCTCACTGGTGGTGTAGGATCCCCACGGCCAGGCTCCCTCCCGCTGCCGTTTATCCTCCAATATCTGCCCACGGAATCACGGCTCTCCGCTTCAAACCTCGAAACCAGCCGCCCACGATATTCTGTTTGTAGAGATCCAGATCTTCTTATGTCTCAGGCTGATTTCGTGGGTGCTCAGAGTGGTCTGGTAGATATCCAGCTCAATTCTGGGGACCAGTTGAAATAGGGTCCCCTACTCCTCCGCCATCTTTTCTTCAATCTATCTTTAATTTTTTATTTAAATTCAATTATCCAACATAGAGTACACATTAGTTTCAGATGTACAGTTCAGTAATTCATCAGTTGCATATAACACCCAGTGCTCATCATATGTGCCCTCCTTAATGCCAGTCACAAAGTTACCCCATCCCCCCACCCACCTTCCCTCCAGCAACCCTGTTTGTTTCCTATAGTTAAGAGTCTTTCATGGTTTGTTTCCCTCTCTGATTTCTTCCCATTCAGTTTTCCCTCCCTTCCCCTATGATCCTCTGCACTATTTCTTATATTCCATGTATGAATGAAACCCAATGATGATTGTCTTTCTCTGATTAACTTATGTCATTCAACATAATACCCTTCAGTTCCATCCACATTGATGTAAACGGTAAGATTTCATCCTTTTTAATGGCTGAGTAATATCCTATATATATATATATATATATATATATATATATATATATATATAACCCCATCAATATGCTGTCTACAAGAGACTCATTTTAGACCCAAAGACACCTCCAGATTGAACGTGAGGGGTTGGAGAACCATGTATCATGTTAATGGAAATCAAAAGAAAGCTGGGATAGCAATTCATATATCTGAAAAATTAGATTTTATTTATTTCTTTTCTTTTCTTTATTTTTTATTATTATTAACATAAAATGTATTATTTATTTCAGGGGTACAGGTCTGTGATTCATCAGTATTACACAATAAGCAGTGCTCAACACAACATATACCCTCCCAATGTTCATCACACAACCACCCCATCCTTCTCACCCCTTCCACTCCAAAAACCCTCCGTTTGTTTCCTGAGATTAAGAGTCTCTTATGGTTTGTCTCCCTCTCTGGTTTCCTCTTGTTTCACTTTTTCCTCTCTTCCCCTATGATCTTCTGTTTTGTTTCTTAAATTCCACTTATGAGTGAGATCGTATGATAATTGTCTTTCTCTGACTTATTTCGCTTAGCATAACACCCTCTAGTTCCATCCACATCATTGCAAATGGCAAGATTTCATTTTTTTGATGGCTGCATAATATTCCATTGTGTGTGTGTGTATCTTTATCCATTCATCTGTCAATGGACACCTGGGCTCTTTCCATAGTTTAGCTATTGTGGACATTGCTAATATAAACATTGGGGTGCATGTGCTCCTTCAGATCACTACATTTGTATCTTTGGGGTAAATACCTATACTGCAATTGCTGAGTCCTGGGGCAGTTCTATATTTTATGTCTTGAGGAACCTCCATACTGTTTTCCAGAGTGGCTGCACCAGCTTGCATTCCCACCAACAGTGTAAGAAAGTCCCCTTTCTCTGCATCCTTGCGATCATCTGTCATTTCCCAACTTGTTAATTTTAGCCATTCTGACTGGTGTGAGGTGGTACCTCATTGTGGTTTTGATTTGTATTTCCTGAAGCCGAGTGATGTTGAGCACTTTTTCATGTGTCTATTGGCCATTTGGATGTCTTCTTTGGAGAAATGTCTGTTCATTTATTCTGCCCATTTTTTGATTGGATTATTTGTCCCTTGGGTGTTGAGTTTGATAAGTTCTTTATACATTTTGGATACTAGCCTTTTATCTGACATGTCATTTGCAAGTATCTTCTCCCATTCTATAGGCTGTCTTTTGGTTTTGTTGACTGTTTCTCTTGCTGTGCTCAGAAATGGACTCTCAACTCTGGTCAACTAATCTTCAACAAAGAAGGAAAGAATATCCAATGGAAAAAAGACAGTCTCTTCAACAAATGGTGTGGGGGAAATTGGACAGCCAGATGCAGAAGAATGAAACTGGACCATTTCCTTACACTATACACAAAAATAGACTCAAAATTGATGAAAGGCCTAAATGTGAGACAGGAATCCATCAAAATCCTTGAGGAGAACACAGCAACCTCTTCAACCTCAGCCGCAGCAAGTTCTTCCTAGACACATCGCCAAAGGCAAGGGAAGCAAGGGCAAAAATGAACTATTGGGACTTCATCAAGATAAAAAGCTTTTGCATGGAAAAATTAGATTTTAAACCAAAGACTATATCAAGAGGTGAAGAAAGACACTATATCATACTTAAAGGGTCTATCCAACAAGAAGATCTAAAAATTGTAAATATTTATGCTCCTAACTTGGGAGCAGCCAATTATATAAACCTATTAATAAAAAAATTAAAGATACCAGCCCTTTATCTGTAGTGTCATTTGCAAATATCTTCTCCCGTTATATGAAAACAATGGATCGTGGATCACTACATCAAAAACTAATGATGTATTGTATGGTGACTAACATAACATAATAAAATTTAAAAAAAATTAAAGAAACTCATTGATAATAATATTATAATGGTAGGGGACATT